TCACTTGGAAGGCTTAAATCTAGGAAGCCCCCATTGGTACTTGCACAACATTTGCATAACAACTTCAACATTGAATCCCAGTGGAAAGTTAAATGGGTCGTTGAATGCCCAGATACAGGAAGATATATAGATGACCCTATGCAAAAGGTAGCCAGGTTTTTATCTATTTCGCCAGCAATCGACAACTTTGAACAGGATTCACTGCATAAACGGGGTATGGCATCGTCATCTCAGTGTGACTGCGGGGCCGCACGTCAAACTATAGATCACATTGTGACCATCTGAAACCTGAGGGCATAAAATGGCCCAATATCTGATTTTTTTAGATATAAATGATGTTGTGCTTCAATGGTTAGATGTCCTAGACACTGGTATTTGAATTTAGATCTTTTTAATATTCATATTTTAAAGGGCTTTTAACTTAGGCTAAATGTTAGTATTTAATGTAAGTCCATGTATGAGATGCCATATGCTAAATAAATAAATATCTATCATTTATCTATCTTCATCCACAGCTCATTACTTATTTTACTTCTTGAGCATCCTTTTTTATACATCCATTAGCTAAATTCCACATGTTTTTGCAGCACTCTGTAAAATAATTATTTTCATTCTATTCTAAGCATCTTGTACATCATCCTTTCTTATATTTATTTTTTATTCATCTATCTTTTAATTCAGGACTCATATTTTCTCTTCTTAAAGTCATTTTATTTTCACTCCCATTTCTTTCTTTGCCTTCCTTTTCTCCCATGTCTATTTTTACCCCAAACTCACTCTTGATGTTACCAGATAATGGTTTGTCCCAAATTCTAAGCCTCTCATTAATTCCTTGTATCTTTCACTAATTCTCAGTCTTTCATGATAAACAATCAGATCAATAATACTTTTTAATTCATTCTTTCTTCATGCACATGCATGAATAGATATACGTTTGAATCACATATTTGAAACAAACAGACCTTTTTAAAGCAGATACTTATCAATTAATCACCATATTCAGTCATTTTGAAGTCTAAAAATGACCCAATAAATTTTCTGTATTCCCTCATCTAGTGTAATGGGAAGTAGGAATAACCCCAGGGAACAGGAGGAAGTGACGCAACCAAGGTAACAGTCAGATAAACAAAATCTGAGTCTGGGGCAGAAATGTAATTTGAGAAAGTGTCTCAGACATGACCTTCCTATTTCTAATGAAGATAAAGGGGTGGGGGGTGGAGGAGAGCATTCAACTTGCAAGATTCTGTTACTGTAACCTTATCATAAAAGTAGTATTGACCTCTACCTCCCATCATCACTTTAGACAATCAAGACTTTCACATTATATTTTTTAGTAATATAGAGATGTAGAATGTCCTACCAGTCTTACTCATACTGTATTAAGAATCCCAAGATATCTAGATCCTTCTGTCATACAGAAATGTGAACTTTTCTTACTTCCCAAGGTATTGAAAGCTAAGAGTAGTACCATTTTAGTAGAATATTAAATAGGTAGCCTCAGACCCCTCTATTTGAGACATTTATGTATGCAGTTAAGCAATTTTGTTAAATGGTACCTTGTTGCTTGGGCTGACATGAATGTTGCAGACACCTTTGTTTTTCATGTAACTGTCCTGTTCATGAATGAAATGTGCATGGAGGAAGCCTCTATATTACATGGAAGGAAAGAGGCACTTTCCTCTCAATGCAGTTTTAGATCTGGAGAGAGCGAGAAATACTGGGGAAGTAGCTACATGGGCTCTATCCCCCTGCTAATAAGCAGTCACCCAACCATTGCTTTATCTATGCAGGGAATAATGGTGTTATACAAAATTAACAAATAAATTATAGACATTAATTAACAAATATAGCTGAATCCAGCATATTAAGTAGAGCCTGAAGTGTTTTAGGTGTTTAATTCCTAAGAAATTATTATTTTGTACAGTTATCAGGACCAATATTTTGGGTGTTAGAGGGAAAATACACTACAAGTACAGCATTCTAAGTATAAAGAAGTCTTCAATTCCAGCTAAGCCAAGTAATTATGTTAATATAGTTCCAACAGGATCCAATTCAAATTTTCCATGCTCAGTCCACACAAGATTAACTTCACTACATTTGAAATGAAACAAAATTCTGGGTTGCTAATAGGTGGTTTTCTGTAAAGAAATCTGAGTCTGTTCTTAGCAAACATACTATTTTAGCAAGACAAATACACATTAGGTTTTTTTCAACATTTACTGGAACATAGTGCAGTATCATAGAGAAGGTCCTAATGTAAAAATAATGCATTTTTATTAAATACGTGTTTAATTATGATCAAGACCAAAATATCAAACACAATACAGTCAGGAAAAAACAAAAACAAAAGAAAAAACCTTCCCCAGGAAATTAATAATATTATCAACCATCAAGGCAGAAATAAATCTGTCAGCAGGTGTTGCCAAAATTAATCTAAAAGTTGTCATATAACAAGTATAATCAAACAAACCCTAGAAATCCCTGGACATTTCTGTAGAAATTTTTTTCATCAGATCAAATCAATCAAGAAATTAGTAGGAGCAGTAATTATTAATTATTAAGTATTAATCAACACTATTGCTGATTAAAAGGGCAGTGTAACAGAACATGTAAGACTGTCTTGATCATTCTGTTTGGACAAGGGCACAGGGGATCTTGTAGTGGTATACTGTTGAATCTTCCCTCCAGGACCATAAATGGCAAGGCATTTAATCTGGCTAATGAAAAGATTCTTCTATAAAGGTAATTAGGTAAAGAAAAAGGGTCCATCATGGATTCCACCATTGCAGTAAAGAGGCTTTGCTCCAATCCCTGTGCAGATCCAGGTAATTTTCTTGGAAAACACGTTCACAGTGAGTGGTTTGTGAAGGGTGGGGTTTTTTTTGGTAATGTTTTATTTATCAGGAGAAGGCTATATAGCTGTCTAGAACAGAAAGAAACTTCAGGGCAATATTTTGCTTCTGATAAAAAGTATTCTACTGGAATAATTCTGCTTACCCTCAGGTGTGTGGCGTCTACTAGGACTTGGTGTGTTCTGTCGAATCTTCTTTCGGACAGACTGCTCTGTGTTGTCCAAGTGCTCCTGTTGGTTATCCTGTGACACATCTGATTTTTCCTCATTTACACTTGGTATGTTTGGATCCTGAGACATCTTCAACTTTTCGGGTTGAGAAAGATGGAAGGAATTAAACTTATAATTTAATCACTGTTACCAAATTCTACACTAAACTGTTATGCAATACAAACCTGCACCTACAACAATTGATCTAATCTTTACAGGCGAAAAATATAGCATATTAAAAGAACACCCTAATAGTTATAATAATCATAATTTCAAATATTTTTTAAAAAAATCAGCATGATGTATTTACTTCTGTAGATTAGGAATTTTTCTAATTTTAAACATGTATTCTTTTATAAATTTTCCATTTTCCTAAACAGTAGCATGGGAATGGAAAAGAATATG